CATATGATGGTTACCGGAACCAAAGGTATCCAACAAGGAAATGCTACACAGGATTAACTACGCTGCCACCATCTGCCTTGTCCATTTACTATATCAAGCAACGAGGCAAGAAACATTGCTTGACTTGGAGAGTCCTCTTTCTTTAACTGCCATTAATTATGGGACGGTTGTTAGCAAACTATATCTAGAGTCTAAGAGGATTCAACAATTGACACAGACGGGAAGCTTAACACAAGTTTATTGAGAACAAAATTATGCTATTCACCACTATAAATCCTTCTCTAACACTGGCCAATCGTTAAGAAATTTAGACATGAAACAAAACCTCAGAGATCACACGCATTACCTTAAGACCTCTGTCTCTCCATCCGGTGGGTTCACTCTGGCTCTCCCTGGCTGTGAGATGTTCTTCACAGACCCACTCTGGACCCTGGTGTCCAGCACTCTCTGTCCTATCATACAGGGGTATATATACACACACAAAAAGGGGTGGGGAAGATTTGCTGTTGCTACCTACACCGAAGATGCAAGAGGTCGGGTCACACGTGCACACTCAAGAATTTTTCCATTAAGCTTGTTTGACATTCACCATACACTGTTCAAGAGAGGAATTATTATTTACGAGTGTGGCTGACCTCTAACCTGGCTAAAAGGGGAAGATCCATGGATGTTTACACATAAGAATCTGGGGTCTAATTCCATTGCAATGTTTGACAAGAGTATCATGAAATATTACATACATGAAACTAGCTAACTAAGACTACCCCAGGAATTTTTAATCAACATACAAGATGATCCAGAGGTCATCTGGGCTGACCTCTTGGAGAAGGCTTCCCTGGGTGTGCACTCTAGGGGAGGGGGGAGGAGGGTCATGGGTGTTACAGAGCCGTGTTCTCAAGTAAAGGAGACCTTGAACCCCCTCTAGACTGTGCGACACAGTGGTTGCAAGGATCAGGTTGGGTTACTGTTACCTGTGGCAGGTGGCTGCAGGTGACGGATCTCCCAATCCTGAGCACTCCAGTTGCAAACTCTGTGAGCAGGAACTACGGCACGATCTCCCGCACTACATCACTGAATGCCCAGTTATTAGACCTTTCAGACCAGTTGGCATGAGGTACCTGGAGCTTTGCAATTACTTTATTCACTCTCGTATTCTTGAAGATATCCTCAGAGTGTACCCAAAATTTGCCAGTGCAGGCTACTAAACATATGGCCCTATATGACTAACCATCCTGCGAGATGGGGATTTTTTAGCATCTCCTAGTTAGCTTTTTTGACACACTGTACTCCACTTCATATAGTCTAGGGTAGCTGCACTAATGCAGATGTACCTCATGTATTAATAAAAAAAAAATTGAACTCCTTCTCCGAGTAAAACAGGATTTCGAGGCGATCCTCCAATATACACTCCAGTGTCCATTACTGACTGCTTGGCAACAGCAGCAGTAAGTAGTAGTTAACGTGGTTAATCTTATATTATCAAGAAAGTGGTAGGTGGTCTCTATTCGTTAGAAGATAAAGTTAAGTTCAGTTTATAGAAAAAACCGTACACTTGATACGAAGTACCAAGGTCAAGGTGACAGTAGGGCGTGACAAGAGGCCATTCAGGTTGAGACATGTGGCACCTGCGCCACCCGCTGCCTACCACAACCTGTATTGGTTGGTTTAATGAATGCTAATTGCATGATTTACCGAGCGAGGATCATTCCGGTGTTCGTTATTAGCGCAATTCACTCTCGCCATCAATCTCAACAACATCAGTGCTAAATGAATTTTTTAGAACTCACGGTCGTTGACTTTGTAAGTGAAAATTCCTGAGCCTCGGCGGGGGTGTGACGACACACAGGAGCCTCGGCGGGGGTGTGACGACACACAGGAGCCTCGGCGGGGGTGTGACGACACACAGGAGCCTCGGCGGGGGTGTGACGACACACAGGAGCCTCGGCGGGGGTGTGACGACACACAGGAGCCTCGGCGGGGGTGTGACGACACACAGGAGCCTCGGCGGGGGTGTGACGACACACAGGAGCCTCGGCGGGGGTGTGACGACACACAGGAGCCTCGGCGGGGGTGTGACGACACACAGGAGCCTCGGCGGGGGTGTGACGACACACAGGAGCCTCGGCGGGGGTGTGACGACACACAGGAGCCTCGGCGGGGGTGTGACGACACACAGGAGCCTCGGCGGGGGTGTGACGACACACAGGAGCCTCGGCGGGGGTGTGACGACACACAGGAGCCTCGGCGGGGGTGTGACGACACACAGGAGCCTCGGCGGGGGTGTGACGACACACAGGAGCCTCGGCGGGGGTGTGACGACACACAGGAGCCTCGGCGGGGGTGTGACGACACACAGGAGCCTCGGCGGGGGTGTGACGACACACAGGAGCCTCGGCGGGGGTGTGACGACACACAGGAGCCTCGGCGGGGGTGTGACGACACACAGGAGCCTCGGCGGGGGTGTGACGACACACAGGAGCCTCGGCGGGGGTGTGACGACACACAGGAGCCTCGGCGGGGGTGTGACGACACACAGGAGCCTCGGCGGGGGTGTGACGACACACAGGAGCCTCGGCGGGGGTGTGACGACACACAGGAGCCTCGGCGGGGGTGTGACGACACACAGGAGCCTCGGCGGGGGTGTGACGACACACAGGAGCCTCGGCGGGGGTGTGACGACACACAGGAGCCTCGGCGGGGGTGTGACGACACACAGGAGCCTCGGCGGGGGTGTGACGACACACAGGAGCCTCGGCGGGGGTGTGACGACACACAGGAGCCTCGGCGGGGGTGTGACGACACACAGGAGCCTCGGCGGGGGTGTGACGACACACAGGAGCCTCGGCGGGGGTGTGACGACACACAGGAGCCTCGGCGGGGGTGTGACGACACACAGGAGCCTCGGCGGGGGTGTGACGACACACAGGAGCCTCGGCGGGGGTGTGACGACACACAGGAGCCTCGGCGGGGGTGTGACGACACACAGGAGCCTCGGCGGTGGTTCTGGCAAGTCCTGAATCCTATGTACCCCGGAATACGACCCGCCAAATCATTTAACAAACCAGGTACCCATTTTACTGTTGGGTAAACAGAGGCTACAGTTAAGGATTGACGCCCAATATATCCTCCCCGGCCAGGATACGAACCCAGTACGAAGCGCTCTCGAAACGCCATACGAGTGTCTTAACCACTACACACAGGGACTGTAAACTTTGATACAGAAGCATCTCTCTCCTCACCCTGGAAGGTCAACACCCCATGTATCCCTTGGCGGTGTTTATCCAGTTCTCTCTTGAACACTGTGAGGGGTCTGCCAGTTATGCCCCTTATGTGTAGCGGAAGCGTGTTGAACAGTCTCGGGCCTCTGATGTTGATAGTTCTCTCTCTCAGAGTACCTGTTGCACCTCTGGTCTTCAACGAGGGTATTCTGCACATCCTGCCATGCCCTCTGGTCTCATGTGGTGTTATTTCTGTGTGCAGGTTTGGGACCAGCCCCTCTACTATTTTCCATGTGTAAATTATTTTGTATCTCTCCCACCTGCGCTCAAGAGAATACAGGTTTAGGCATTTTAATCGGTCCCAATAGATTAGATATTTTACTATTTTCCGACAAGTGGATTCTAGCAGTAAAGGTTCTTTGCACGCTCTCCAGGTCAGCAATTTCTCCAGCTTTGAAAGGGGCTGTCATTGTGCAGCAGTACTCCACTCTAGAGAGCACTAGCGTCTTGAAAAGTATCATCATCGGTATAACATCTCTAGTGTGAAAAGTTCTTGTTATCCAACCTGTCATTTTTCTTGCAGTTGTGACGGCTACTTTATTGTGTTCTTTAAAGGTAAGGTCTTCCGACATCAGTACACGTAAATCCTTTACAATGCTATTTCGTTCTATAGTTTGATTTGGTTGCATTTTGTACGTGGTTTCCCTTTATATATTTTAATTTTTTTCAATGGCGCAGGAGCTGAAACTTATCCTCATTAAATACCATATATATTTTCTGTAGCCCAGGGAAAGGCCTGATTTACATCAGTTTGAAGGTTTGCCGTGTCCTCTACGTTGTCTACTCATAAAAATTCCAGTGTCACCTGCAAAGGATGATACAGTACTATGGTTTGTGTCCTTGTCTATTTCCCATACGAGAATGAGAAAGAGTACTTGCACAAGCACAGTACCCTGAGGGACTGAGCTCTTCACGGTTGATGGTCCGCATTCTATTTTGTTAGCTATTATACATTGAGTTCTGCTAGTTAGGAAATTGCAGATCCATCTGCCTATTTTTCCGATAATTCCTTTTGCACACATTTTATGTGCAATAACACCATGGTCACATTTGACGAAGGCTTTTGCGAAATTTCTGTAAATTACATCAGCGCATTGTTTGTCTTCCATGGCATCTAATGTCATCAAGTCATAGTGGTCCAGCAACTGTGACAGGCAAGAGCGCCCTGTTCTGAAACCATGTTGTCCGGGGTTATGGATATGCTGTGATTACATGTATTTTGTGACCTTACTTCTTAGCACTCTTTCAAAGATTATCATGATGTGTGATGTTAGTGCTATCGGTCTGTAATTTTTGCCCCCTGCCTTATTTACTCCTTTATGGAGTGGTGCTATCTCTGCTGTATTTAATATGTCTGGGATAACGCCAGTATCTAGGCTCTGTCTCCAAAGAATGTTAAGAGCCTGCACATCTAGTGTGGTGCACGATCATAGCGGCGAGTGCATGCGCACAGGCCATGAACCCGGTCAGTGCATGCGCACGGCCCATAAACCCGGTGAGCGCATGCGTACTGGCCATGAACCCGGTCAGCGCATGCGCACTGGCCATGAACCCGGTCAGGGCATGCGCATTGGCTATGAATCCGGTCAGCGCATGCGCACTGGCCATGAACCCGGTCTGCACATGCGCACTGGCCATGAACCCGGTCGCCACCTGCCACAGCCTAGGGTGAGAGAGACGGCCAGGACCGGCGACAGACATGGCAGGAGTGAGGTGTGATGAGGTGGGTGCCACCCGTGGCAGGTGGTGGCAGCTGGGTGCCACCCGTGGCAGGTGGTGGCAGCTGGGTGCCACCCGTGGCAGGTGGTGGCAGGTTACTGACACTCGGGGCAGGCGGCAGCAGGTGGTGATGCCCCACCTGCTGCTCCTCCTGCTCCTGCTCAACTCTGCTGCAGCAGACAAGGTCGTAGAGAGTCTTCGAGACGGCTTCGGCTACTACTACAAGATCGCTGGCTACGCCCTCAACGACCCGGCTGACTACCAGGTCGTCCAAGTTAACAGTGGCTGTGAGTACTTGTTGGTGGTGGTGGGTCACTGAGTACCTCTTGGTGGTGGTGGGTCACTGTGAGTACTTGTTGGTGATGGGTCACTGTGAGTACTTGTTGGTGGTGGGTCACTGTGAGTACTTGTTGGTGGTGGTGGGTCACTGTGAGTACTTGTTGGTGGTGGTGGGTCACTGTGAGTACTTGTTGGTGGTGGTGGGTCGCTGTGAGTACTTGTTGGTGGTGGGTCACTGTGAGTACTTGTTGGTGGTGGTGGGTCACTGTGAGTACTTGTTGGTGGTGGTGGGTCGCTGTGAGTACTTGGTGGTGGTGGTGGGTCACTGTGAGTACTTGTTGGTGGTGGTGGGTCACTGTGAGTACTTGTTGGTGGTGGTGGGTCGCTGTGAGTACTTGGTGGTGGTGGTGGGTAACTGTGAGTACTTGTTGGTGGTGGTGGGTCACTGAGTACTTGTTGGTGGTGGTGGGTCACTGTGAGTACTTGTTGGTGGTGGTGGGTCGCTGTGAGTACTTGTTGGTGGCGGTGGGTCGCTGTGAGTACTTGTTGGTGGTGGTGGGTCACTGTGAGTACCTGTTGGTGGTGGTGGGTCACTGAGTACTTGTTGGTGGTGGTGGGTCACTGTGAGTACTTCTTGGTGGTGGTGGGTCACTGTGAGTACTTCTTGGTGTTGGTGGGTCACTGTGAGTACTTCTTGGTGGTGGTGGTGGGTCACTGTGAGTACCTGTTGGTGGTGGTGGTGGGTCACTGTGAGTACCTGTTGGTGGTGGTGGGTCACTGAGTACTTGTTGGTGGTGGTGGGTCACTGTGAGTACCTGTTGGTGGTGGTGGGTCACTGAGTACTTGTTGGTGGTGGTGGTGGGTCACTGTGAGTACTTCTTGGTGGTGGTGGTGGGTCACTGTGAGTACCTGTTGGTGGTGGTGGGTCACTGAGTACTTGTTGGTGGTGGTGGGTCACTGTGAGTACTTCTTGGTGGTGGTGGGTCACTGTGAGTACTTCTTGGTGGTGGTGGGGGGTCACTGTGAGTACTTCTTGGTGGTGGTGGTGGGTCACTGTGAGTACTTCTTGGTGGTGGTGGTGGGTCACTGTGAGTACTTCTTGGTGGTGGTGGTGGGTCACTGTGAGTACTTGTTGGTGGTGGTTCACTGTGAGTACTTGTTGGTGGTGGGTCACTGTGAGTACTTCTTGGTGGTGGTGGTGGGTCACTGTGAGTACTTGTTGGTGGTGGTGGTGGGTCACTGTGAGTACTTGTTGATGGTGGTGGGTCACTGTGAGTACTTGTTGGTGGTGGGTCACTGTGAGTACTTGTTGGTGGTGGTGGTGGGTCACTGTGAGTACTTCTTGGTGGTGGTGGTGGGTCACTGTGAGTACTTGTTGGTGGTGGTGGTGGGTCACTGTGAGTACTTCTTGGTGGTGGTGGTGGGTCACTGTGAGTACTTCTTGGTGGTGGTGGTGGGTCACTGTGAGTACTTGTTGGTGGTGGTGGGTCACTGTGAGTACTTGTTGATGGTGGTGGGTCACTGTGAGTACTTGTTGGTGGTGGTGGGTCACTGTGAGTACTTGGTGGTGGTGGGTCACTGTGAGTACTTGTTGGTGGTGGTGGGTCACTGTGAGTACTTGTTGGTGGTGGTGGGTCACTGTGAGTACTTGGTGGTGGTGGGTCACTGTGAGTACTTGTTGGTGGTGGTGGGTCACTGTGAGTACTTGGTGGTGGTGGGTCACTGTGAGTACTTGTTGGTGGTGGTGGGTCACTGTGAGTACTTGGTGGTGGTGGTGGGAGAAAGAAATCCGGACTCCACCTGCCAAAGGTTATTGGCGAATACAAACCTGGTTATGCATATGGAAATGTCAAGATCCACAAGCCTGGAAACCCACTTTGGCCAATCATCAGCCAGATACCCACACCCACGTACAGACTGGCTAAGCAACTCAACGGCTTGCTGACTCCTTATGTACCTTGTGCTTTCAGCCTGAAGTCTCCAAGGAATTTGTTGACTTACTGCAGGGAACACGGGCCACAGGGATAAGAGCCTCGTTGGACGTAGAATCACTGTTTACAAACGTACCTGTGGATGAAACAATCGGGATGATAGCGGACAATGTGTATCGTGATCCGGCTTGTACTCCTCTTGACATACCAGAAAACATTCTAAGGAAACTACTCCAAGCTTGTACTAAAAAGGCACCCTTCTTGAGCCCAGATGGGCAAATGTATAAGCAAGTAGATGGGTTCTCCCCTAGGTGTTCTGTTTGCGAACTACTACATGGGTACCATCGAGCAGAAGGTCTTAGTTGACATGGACTTGAAACCTGCAATATACTGCAGGTATGTTGACGACATTTTTACACAGGTACCTGATGTCACACGTCTGCAGGAGCTGAAGGAGGCATTCGAGTGGAATTCTGTGTTAAGTTTCGCTTACAAGATGGAGAAGGATGGGAAGCTGCCCTTTCTAGATGTAACAGTCATGGAAAGGAGCGGAGGCTTCCACACTGTAGTCTACTCTAAGGAAACATAGGAATGTACCTCAATGCCAATAGTGACTGCCCAGACAGGTACAAGAGGAGTGTTGTCAATGCTTATGTCGACCGTGCTCTCAGCCACAGCTCAGTAAGGAAGCAAGTCGATGAAGAACTCTGTAGGGTAAGGCAGGTCCTAGTCAACAATGGCTTCTCTCATGGTTTTGTTGAAGACATCATAAAAAGAAAGGTAACATGCCATGCAACCTCTGAAGAGTCAACTAACACAACACATGTACCCCCTTATTAGACTAATTTACATAAACTTCTTTTCGACAGCTCATAAAACGGAGGAAAGGGTCCTGAAAGATATTGTTGATTGGAACGTTATCCCTACAGACAAAAAAACTGAAAATAGAATTGACGATTTACTATAAAACCAAAAAAAAAAAAAACGGCCAATCTACTCGTGAAAAACTCTCCAGACACAAAGCAGAATGCCTTGAAGGAAACCAACGTCGTCTATGCCTTCAAATGCCCACTTGGGGACTGTAAGCCTCAAAGAACTCAGTATATAGGCAAGACGACAACGTCTCTTTCCAAGCGATTAACAATGCATAAACAGCAGGGCTCTATAAAGGAACATATAATCTCCTTTCACAACTAGACCATCACCAGAGAAGTCTTAACAAACAACACAGAAACCATCGATAGGTATAGCAATAGCAGGCGGCTCCACATCTGCGAGGCACTACACATCAAAAAGTCGACACCAGTCGACTGAATATATGAATATAGTATACACAACTATATTCTACTCACTTCAAGACTCCGCTCCAATATAGAAGTATCAAGAAATATGGGCCAATAGGCCCTCTGCAATTACTTCCATTCTTACCTTCAATACCCATTGTTTCGTGTTGTGGCTTGTGTTGAAAGTTTGTTTTCACCTCATCCAAAACTGTTGTAACATATCACCTCACCCAAATGCAGGTATAAAAAATCGAAGGTGTTTAAGCTCTATTCAGTTATAGTTGTGTGTGTAAACTAAAGTCTTTGAAAATGTAATAAGTTTTACGAAACCGCACTCAAGTGTCGCGTCAGACTAGAAATAAAAATGAATTTTGGAGAATTGATTTTTCAATTACCATCAACAGTGAAAAGAAACATAAGAAATAGAGAAAATTCGTGTTAGAATTATTAATCTTACTTTTTCGGTCATATTTAATAATGTATGTCTACAGGAAAGACTGCTACCAAAATATACTAATATTATATATATATATATATATATATATATATATATATATATATATATATATATATATATATATATATATATATATATATATATATATATATATATATATATATATATATATATATGTCGTACCTAGTAGCCAGAACTCACTTCTCAGCCTACTATGCAAGGCCCGATTTGCCTAATAAGCTAAGTTTTCATGAATTAATTGTTTTTCGACTATCTAACCTACCTAACCTAACCTAACTTTTTCGGCTACCTAACCCAACCTAACCTATAAAGATAGGTTAGGTTAGGTAGGGTTGGTTAGGTTCGGTCATATATCTAAGTTAATTTTAACTCCAATAAAAAAAAATTGACCTCATACATAATGAAATGGGTAGCTTTATCATTTCATAAGAAAAAAATTAGAGAAAATATATTAATTCAGGAAAACTTGGCTTATTAGGCAAATCGGGCCTTGAATAGTAGGCCGAGAAGTGCGTTCTGGCTACTAGGTACGACATATATACATATATATATATATTATATATATATATATATATATATATATATATATATATAAATATATATATATATTGTTCCCTGCAAGGAAAGACAACACCTTAGCTGCCACAGTCATCAAAGCCATAAATAATTTTCCCCAGGGAGGACAACTAGGTGCACCTTCCCACTCGTGCGAGAAACATCCCACGGCAGGAAGAGCAACAGTGGCGTATCCGAGACATCAAAAATCAGAACATCAGTCCCCAAGAAAATAGAAGAAGGAAACAATATTGGCGCAATAAGAGTCATCACCAGTGAGGACTCAATTGCTGACAGAGATGCCGCAACAGCTCAAGCCCTAAGGGAAAAACACCCACCCATGGCTCCACGTGAGGACAATATTCTACAAGTGGGGGCTACTAGAGCAGAACCTCTCTGGGTGGCTGAATCTGTGGTCCATAAAGCAGCCTTGTCGTTCCCAACAGGATCAGCAGGTGGGTTCACAGGACTAAAACCCAACCACATCAAACAAATCCTCAACCCTGCACTGCGTGACATTGCACAGGGCCTCTTTGTGGAACTATCCAGATTCACCAACACATGTCTAGCTGGCAACATACCAGAGACCATAAGGCCTATTTTTTTGGAGCATCTCTCTGTGCTCTAAGGAAAAAGAATGGAGGGATCAGGCCAATAGCTGTGTGCAATTCCCTCCGGCGTCTTGTCGCAAAGGCTGCTGTGAGAACAGTTAGCGAGGCTGCTGCGAGAACAGTTAGCGAGGCTGCTGCGAGAACAGTTAG